AACATCTAGATTTATAAGTCTATTCTCTTCAATCATTGTGGCATTGGTGTAATTTTTAATTTGTTTTTTACAAGYCTTCTTTGAGTTCCCTGTGAAAACTCAGTTTTGGGGAATGGGTATAAAATAGAGACAGATTAAATAAGARGACTTTTTGCTCCAAGATGTCCAATACAATTCATTTAGAAAATCTGCATCTTCATTTAAAAACTGCAGAAAGCAGAGTCCAACTGTGCATCTTCCATGGAAGATAAACATTATTTATGTTGCTTAGCGTGTATGAGCTGAAAAAGGAAATATATTTTCCGATAAAATCTTCCAGGCTGGAAATACAGAACAGTTTGCTTGAATCCAAATGTATATTGCTTAGTCTCAATAGGAAAGTAAAGATTTATTAAGTCATATGTCAGCTGAGTCGAATTATTGATGTTGAATTCAACATGTTGAACTCAGAGATTCATCAACTTTATAGTATTATTTGTTAGAAAAGTATTCCCTTCTATCTATTTGGACTGACTTTTTATTATCTCTCTTGTTTATTCTCTCTTTTGTCTGAAGCAGTGGTTGCTGACCTGACTAATAGTTTTCATCTTTGTACTTCAAGCTGTTTCAATATGTGCAGGTGCTGTGGAATTTACTGTCTTTACATTGAAAAATCAAGATCTAGTTAATGTGTTTGTAGATGTTCAAATGAAAATATTCTTAAGGTAGAATTAAGGTATACAGTTCTGATTTTAACAGAAGATGCATTTAAGAGTCAGGAAATTCCAACTGAATGTTAAGAGTAAGTATTTGAAAGTCCAAACATCCAAATTTTACCAGATCAGAAAACAATTAAAATTCTGGAATCAGCTCTGAATACRTCAGTACTTGCTAGGAGAAATGTAATTATGTGTGTGTAAACTAAGCTTAACCCAAAAGAATAATTGGTTCTAGTCTTGTCCAGTCAGGGGTCAAATTGAACTCRTCTTATGCTGCTGAGAAACCTGGAGTCAGTGTTGATCCCACCAGGGGAGTTAGGCCTGGACCAGCTCCCACCAGCCACATGGACACAGTGAGAATCACAGAGTCCTGGAATGGTTTGGATTGGAAGGGGCTTTAAAACCCATCTCATTATCCCATTCCACCCCCTGCCATGGGCAAGGATTCCAGAATTCCACTATCCCAGAGTGCCCCAAGCCCCATCCAGCCTGGCCTTGGACCTTGCAGAGACCCATCCCCAGCTTTTCTGGGCACCCTGTGCCAGGACCTGCCCACCCTCCCAGGGAACTGACGGTGCCCTTCCCCTGGGAGAAACCAGAGGCACGTTGCTAAGGCTTCCTCTCTGTTTGTAGGATCAATCCACGTTGTTACAATAGATTTTTGCCTCTTTAATACTGCTTGGCACAGTCTTTCCCTCTGCTCTGACACTTTCCACTTGAGCTCCATGTGGCAGATGTGGAGCCATGGCTTTGTTGTGACCTCAGCGTGCAMTGGACAGYRGTGCCACGTTCCCAGGAAAGGGGGRCAGCAGGGAAGGGTGGCASCAGCCCCATTTCAGCASTGAGGTTCCCATGGTGTCATCAGCCCAGGGGACAGGAAAGCAACACTTCCATCAGWTGTCAGCAATGCTGTGTCCCACTGCTGCTGCTCTCCTCAGCTGTRGCAGAGCGTGCAGGGCCAAGGGCTTGTCAAGAGGGAAGTGATCTCTGAGTGCTTTATGGAGAGACAAACTCGTACAACTGGGAGTCAATTCTCTGTAGTTTACGTGGAGATTTGACCAGGATTTTTCTGCATACAAGAAGCTGGGAGATGGCCTGTGAATTTTGCTTATCTCATAATTTCAAGAACACTTTTTCCATGATGAAGTCTCTTAGAAGGTCCTTTACTGTTCATGTAGTGCTAAAGACTTCAATGATACATGTTCTAACAGCAGTGAAATGCAAGAAGCCAAAACTACCTTAACAAATACGGTTCATTTAGCTAAAAGAGGCAGACTGAGCAGCAGGTGGAAGGGTTAAACAAAAGGAAAAAAGATTATAAAAGTTTGCGGCTTTGGCTTCACTACAAATGGCTCTCTTGCAGACTTTATAGCATTAATGTTGCTTCTCATAAACCTTGAAACCATTCATCCATTTAGAAAGATTAAATTGGTTAGTCATCCAGAACAGAAAATGTACACATCCATTTTGTCTGTTACCCTAAACCAGCAGAAGTATAATAAATGCAGTTGATGCCATTAAACTAAAGCATTGAGTATTAATGATGGCCTCAGCTGTGGTRTTTACAGTTTGCCAGCTCTTGTATTCCTGCTAGTATATTCATCTGCTGCTGCTCAAGGACAGTCAGAGCAGAGCCTTTGAGTTGGAAAACATGAGTATAATATATGATGTGAGGGGCTCAGAGAAAACATCTTGGTATTAAAGCAAGGAAAATCCTAGAAATGTTACAGTTTTTGTTWTTATTAGAAGGTCAAAGTTAAGAGGCACAAACTTCATTTAGGATGCCTTAATATATTTGTAATGGTCTGTTAAACAGTTTGCAARGACAGGTTTGTTTGGATTTACAGATGAAGCTATTGCTATTTCAAGTTCTGTCACTTAAACAAGCCAGACGAAAATGGTCAGACTCTCCTAAAGCAGGAATTTATAGAGACACTTTGTCAGAAAGTTTATTATTAAAAATGCTATGAAAATTAGATTTAATTTAGCAGTATTTTCTCTTGATTAATATCAGGAKTTCAGAAGTATCCCTCCCAGAATTAAGAAAATTTTCAGTGATTACTTCAGAATATGAAGAAATTGAATTCTGCTGCTTTGAAATCTGTAAGATGTTCTCTCAAATGCAGAGATTTACAGTGGTCTGGAAAAAAACATGACATGTTTTTTAATTACTGCATATAGTGCCTTTAATCAGAGCATCCAGCTTGACAGCATTAAAACTGGGAAGCAAACTCAGTTTCATGCTGGAAATGCCAGCTCATTCCTATAAGAAACAGGAATCAATATCCCATCCTGGCCATCATTGAAAGCAGAGCAGTTTGCTAGAGGTTCTTAAGCACCAGCAACTYGTGTGGAGCACAAGGAAGGACTCAAAAATAAAATACCAGAAAATTCCCTGTCAATGCCCACAGTGCAGCCCCAGGGAGACGAGACCACTTCCAGGGAGTGCAGAGGATTTGGCATCAGACACTGCTTAGGATTCGTTTGCTTTTCTTTCTGAAACATTTCTGGTGGCAGAAAAGCAACAATCCTCCCCCCGTCCCCTCAGCATTTGTCTTTTAGTGCAAATACAAATGGCAAAAGTACCAGGAGGGAGTGAGGTGATCTGAAAGAGCCAGAACCTCATAAATTGTGTGGGAAAGGCTGTCTTGCCTTTTCTCTAACTGATGGCATGCCAAGTTTATTTTACAGTATTTACAGTAAGATTTGTTTGTTTTGATACCCTTTGTAAGTTGTTAGGGAAAAGGCAAAAGAAAATCTCCAGGAAGTTTATAGTTTGTGATGAGCCAGAGCCCAGGCTTGAATTTGCTTTCTAGCCCTATACCTTTTACTAGGAGTGTAATATATAAAGGGATATTAGATTGCAGTTGGATGAGTTATTAGTGGGCTGTTATTTATTTCTCTGTATGAATTTGGTGCTTAAGAAAGCCCTCAGAGCAGCACGCTAAGGAAGTGGAATTGTTCGTTTATTCCGAAAGCAGATCCAGGAGGGGCAGGAACAACTCTGGTTTCTCTTCCCTGTGTCACAGCTCTGACCTTGGCACAGGACAGGGACAATGTGCAGCCTCTGCCTGTGTAGCTGAGGTGCAGATGGGTGACATGAGAGCAGATTCATCTGGGATGGAGTGCTCCCAGTGTGGCTGTGCAGGCAGGGSATTGAGCACAGTTTGGGAGGAGTGTTCTCTCTGTCATGAGGAGAAGCCCCGGGTTGTTCTCAGGCCAAGCACCCTGCAGTACAAAGCCACAAAAAATGGTGCCTGTTCCCAGGCAATGTTTACGGACAAGGAAGAAAGGAGGGTTTTTTGGATGTACAACATCTCTAACTRGAGCATTCCTGCCCTGGGTCTGTGGAGCAGGTCACCCACTGGTGTGGAAAGTTTTCTAGGCAGGTGCTGCTCTTGCTAGCCTGTTGTACTGAAGGGAAAATAGGGGTGTTTGGGTTTAATGCTGAAGCCTCAATTGTTTGAACCAAACTTCTGAAGATGTTGTAGGGCCTTGGGCTATGGCAGGAGTTGAGAAATAGGAGACTAATGGTGGGTTTTATGTGCTGTGACAAAAAGCACAGCATGGTCTCACCTCTCCCTGAAACACAGGGTAGACATGGTAACTTTTCTCTGGAAAAATTCACTGTAGCCATTTKTGACTGTCTAGGATGCAGCACAATTGCTGAATGTTACGAGCTGTCCCTATGGGGCTGGGGAGGGATTTTCCTAAGGACAAACTGCCTCGCTGACCCCTCCCATCCCTGCTCATAGAGCAGCTCTTCTTCTCCCTTAGCAGGGTGACAAACCCAAAATGCACAMGAGCTGTACAGACACAGCCTCCCCTGTGCCACTGTTGACGTGCTGTGTACACCCCTGAGCAGGAAAGAGCATTTKAGGGTCAGCAAGTGTCTTTGAGCAAAGCTGGTGCCAGGAGATGCTGGCACAACTCAGCACTGTTKAGTTTACACCTGTCAGAAGCAGGCAGCCTCTCAGCTCCTGTGTTTGGGTGAGTGTATTCATCATATTTAGCTTTTAAACAATAYTCTTTTTATCTTCCCTGCACTTCATAGCTGTTAATTAATCCCACAGCACCCAGGGATTAATAGTAATRCTTTACAGGGAAAAGCAGAAGTGAGCAAGAGGAGGTCAAGCGGCTGGGCCAAGGTCATGGAAGCAGTTTTTGTCTGAAGAACATTTGGTTTTGCAAGATTAAAGTGCTGTTAAGTGGTCTCTCCTTGGATGTCAGCCTCCATTTTGGGGGGGAGGGTGTGTTTCTGGGGGGCAGTAGAATACGTTCACAGCACATTCTTTCCCCTAGGACTTGAAAGATGATCGGAGTGATGAAGAGGAAGAAGATTCTCTTACAGATACTGAAGAGGAGTCCACAAAGAATGGCAACAAGAACAGCAGTGGGTTGAGCAAACACCTCCTAAGCAGCAGYCACCACTAGCCCTGTCCTGCAGTGATTTCTGCTCTGCTTTTAGCCCAACCTACAGGATAGGATTTAAGTCAAAAGGCTTGTGAGAGACTGTGATTGATTTATTGTTGGCTACTGGACCTGGAAAAAAGCCCAGTTTAGAGGGGAGGGAGAAATTGCATAACATGACCAAATGTGTTAATGACCCACTTTCGGAATCGTTGCGGAGYGTGCGGAAAGATGTTTGGACACGCTGACTGCCAGTGCTCCACAAGGGCAAAGCTCAAGAGAGTCAACTAATTCAGTGTCCCGTTGATTCTAGTGTTGTTTTCTGATATAAGATATATTTCATCAGACAGTTTAAATCACAGATGTTTTGTGGTAGGTAGGTAGTGTGAACTCCATTTGGAAYCAGAATTACTCAATGTGGGAAAAATTTCACAGTGCTGTACAATGACCAGCATTTTAGTCTTTACTTTTCAGTTTAAACCCTCATCAAAATGGGTATTTTTCTGAGTTATATTTCATTTCCTGGAGGCCAGGGGAAGCAAACATGGTGGAATTCAGATTACTTGTCTTTGAAGTGTTGGCTTCAGTGTAGAAATACACTCTTTCTCTGAAGTGATAGATAGCTGAAATACTGTGTCAGGGAAGTCGTTCTTAAAACAGCACAACTCAGCCCCAATTCTCTGTGGAGCTGCAGGCTTCTCATATATCTTTCAGTCATTTGGCCCAGTGTTAGAACAGAAGGTGCAGAGGGGAGAGAGGAGGGCAAATGGAAATTGGGTCTTTTCACAGGTTCTTGTGCACTTTTGTCTTCAAAACTGCCAAACACCCGATGCTCCTGTCACATCTTCAGCCCAGAAAGTTAAAAGCAAATCTCGTCCATTCCTTCCTCGTGAACTTGTCTTACAGCTTTGGATACTGCCTTGTCTGGAGTGAGCCCACCAAATCCTCAGCTSTGGTTCTGGAGTGGGCCCTGAGGAGCCCAGGACTGGCACAGAATGTCACACTGTCACTGCTGTGGGTTTCTTTGATATCAAGATCTGTATTTCCATCTCTGCTCTTTTATAAAACAGGGAATCACATCAGCTGGACCCAAACTYGAATGTGACTAGGTGACTTCAAACACATGCAGTTCTTTATGCTGTAACCAGTGAACAACAGTTCCTCTTACCCAAAGTGCCTCTATCATAAATTTGCCCTTCTGTTCTAACACCAGTGGGGCTGCAGCAGCATTTTCAGTCTCTCCAAGGAGAGCCCAGGCCCTTGTAAACAGGGTGGTGCCAGTCCCATTTCCCTCTGCATTAGCTCACAGACTCATAAATTATTTGTGTCAYAAGTTTGGGAGGCAAGAGGCTCTGCATGTGGTTCTACAGTAGCTGAGATCATCTGGGAGCTAAATGCAGTAGCTTGATAGAGGCCAGGGGAGCACTCCCAGAGCAGCCTCGGCGCAGAGCGTTCGSTTCAGGCTGGAATTGGTGACCTACRGGAAGYGTTACATGACTGACTTGTTTTCCCAAGATTTCCTTGGCAAGTGGGGTGTTATTCAGTGCCTGAAACATTGAAAGAATAGGAAATGTTTGGGATCTCAGATACAAAGAAGAAGTGGGTTTCATGCAGTTACAAGAAGCTGTTAGGAGGGCTTTGTTACARAGGCTTAATCTTTTTACAGTGTCTAGTTTTTTGCTTATATTTTGGTACAATTTTGGACTGAGGAAGGAGCATGGCCTTCTTTCTGAGAAGGAAGGGAGATGTGTGGTGGTGGAATGGGACCCCTGCCTGGTCAGTGGAGTTCAGTGGTGCCACTTGGGCTGAGTGGGCAGAACCCCTTCAGCAGCCTTTGTGTGTCCTTCCTACATGGATGAGAAYACCTTCAACACTAAGGGGGGGATTATGGGAAGTGTAAACACTGATGGCATCATCTAAGGCGACAGGAGAGTTTGGCAGGGGCACAGTTCTTATCGGGGCCCATTTATTGCCTGCGTGAAAAACACTTTCCTAACAAAACGTGGAAACCSGGCGTCTTGGAGGCTTTACACTCCCCTGGAGAGACAACGGTGCTTTCTTCGAGATGTAACAGAGTTTTGGSAGCTGGCCAGGGTATTATCATTTGATTTTGGTGCCAGAAGCTTTCCTCCTATGACTAGGAAAGGAATTCAGGGAAGGAAACACAAAGAATGATGTTGTCACAGGAATGAGCCTCTGAACAACTACTGATTTTTAAACTGGAATTTATAGTCTCCTTGAGGCCAAAACTTGCCTTTTCTACTCAGGACAAGTCTCCCACTGAAGCCAATTAACTCTATTGGAGTCTTGCCTAGGAAAAATTTTGGATTGCAGTTTTCCAACCTAATTGCAAGAACTGTTCTTCTAAGTTGATGTGAAACTGGGATCTTGAACAAAAGGTAGGTAAATGCGCTCAAGTATAAAACTTTGAGGCAAATTTTGGGTGAGTACAGAAGAATATGGAAGAAAGCAACATCCTGAAGGTGAAGATTAAGTGTGAGCACATTAAACAGCCAAATAACACTGCAGTGAGAGGGGATGGAAGCAGGCAGGCCATGGAAGGCCCTTTACAGGGATTACTGTCATGGCCAAGCAAGGGGATTAGACTTAAAAATTCTGAATGTAAACCACTAGGTAAATACCCACAGCACAGAAAGAAGTGGGAATGGGCTGTCACAGTGTCCCCTGTTAACGTCAGGTTGGTCATTCCTGAAGTTATGTGCATTTAATTTCCCCTTTTTACTATGGAAACTCCGAAACAAGAAGCTGAGGTTATGGGGGCAGAATTTCTACTAAAGAAATTCATGTCATGGTGCTTCAAGGTTTTCAGTCKATTCAATGCAATGCAATGAAGATTCAATATTTTTATAATTCTGTTGTGAAAGGAGTCTCAAAGTGCAGGTGCAGAACAACTGTAGGCATGTATGGGAGCACAGATAGACTCTGGCATGTTATTTTTACCATTTCACAAAGTGTCTCCTGGTTCAGAGTTGACATCATGCATCTGGCTTTGTTATGTCACTTTGACCATGCCAAAATATTTCTGATAGAGCTATAGAATGAAAATAAATATTAGTCCATAAGACTCAGGGGAAACTCTTCTGTTCCATTKAATTTCTCTGGATTCAGTTTGTGTATTCCTGTCCATGTGTACTCTGCTTCCTCCGTATTTGTGTTGTACTTAGATTTACCAGCCTGCTCTGGATTGGGTTTACAGAATTC